GAAGCCACAAACACTTCTATTAGGCTGTTACAAGAAATAAATAGCCATGATGGCTACTGTTTGGCCAGAGATTAATCAACTTCTGGCTGTATTAATACCCCTAAAGCAAAGGTAAGTATTTTTTCCAAACTGCTAAATAGTTTGATAATTTCCCATGCCAGTGCCTCCTACTTCCTTTGCAGCCAGGCTCTTTCAGGGAAGGTATTGCTTATTCCTTCATGAAGTGATTTATAATGGATTATCTCAGCATAATACTCCAAGTTATGACAGTTCCTGGTCCAATGCTTATCTGGACTTTGTGGCTCACACTGCCTAACACTTCACACAGTCAAGACTACATCCTGTTTTGTTGAATGCATTTTTTGTTTGTTTGGGTTTTTGAGGTTTTGTTTGTTTGTTTTGTTGATATTGGTTCCTTGTGGGTTTTTTGTTTGTTGGGGTTTTTTTGCTTGGTTGTTTTTGTATTTTTTTTTTAATATCTTTGATAGCCAGGTACTTCCTCATTGTTTTTTCTTTTCCTGAAGAAACTGTCCTACTTCATCTTTCTGTTACTGATGCTACCTACAGAAGTTCATAGAATCGTGGAAGGGACCTTCAAGATCATCTAGTTCCAACCCCACTGCCATTGGTTAGGGCACCTTCCACTAGACCTGGTTATATATGCCTTTCACTAAAAAGGGAAAACCTCATTAATATTAGCATGCCAAAGCAGCAACAAAACCCACACATTAATAACTTCTTTCTCATACCTTATCTACATCTCGCCTCTTCCAATTAAAAGCTATTCCCCCTTGTCCTATCCCTACCTTCCCTTGTCAAAGGTCCCTCTCCTGACAGCCCCTTTAGGTACTGGAAAGCTGCTCTAAGGTCTCCCCAGAACTGTCTCTTCTCCCAAGAACAAGCCCGACACTCTCAGCCTGTCAGTTTTGCTTATCAAAGTTTTAGAAGGCATTTGGTAGGCCATGTGACATCCTGACTAGAAACAATAGTTATAGTTGTTTGAAAAGGAGCTACAGATATCATGATTATTAGGTCTTCTCTCATCCATACAGTTCAGAGGAAATTCTTCATCTGCTCTTACAGCTCTAAGGCTCCAAAGGCTGTGTATTCCTTTATTAACACTGTCACCGAGTTACAGGCATCTGCCCACAAGTAGATCTGCTCCTTAGGGGAACATAAACTACTCAGATTTTTTGCCCAGGCAGCTGCAGTGACCACTCTCAAAGTCTGGATAGCTACATCCCAAACAGAATATAAAAAATAGCAAAAAGTACACACAAGATTTTTTTTTATTATTCATTGGAAAGACGGATGATAGTTTACATGTTGCAATATCCAGAGACTGTGGTAACTGAAGGTGGGTTTAGCTCAAATGCAGTGCATTAGAAGAAGTAACTTGCAAGTTTATTAACTGTAAGGAAAAGCTTTCCTGGACCAACAGACATTTTGCCATCAAGATGGCAAAAAGTGGGCAAAAATTAAATGCCCTCCAACCTTGCTTCACTGAGAAATTTCAGCATTTTAAACAAATTGATTTTTCAACCACTTTGCAACTGACAAATGTTTCTCAACATACAGTCTTTCATTGTTACCTGGATTACTTCCACAGTCACATTCAAACTTGTATCTGAGCTAAGCTAAAAACAATGTATACCTGAACTGAAGAAAATATCCATACATTCTACTACTAGAAATATTCCCTTTTTATACAATTTATTCTAGTTGTCTATACAGACAAGGTGGACAAGAATGGATTTTTTCTTAAAAAAGAATAAAAAAAAAATAAATAAACCATATCTGCTCCAATTGCCAGTATCCTTAATGTCACAGAAAAGAATTCTGTAATCCATAAATCTGACTCATGGTCACATATCAGTTGTGTTTATTGAAGTCAGATAAAACCAGAACCTGGACTGATTTCAGTAACTTTACCCTGAACTAAATCAGGATTCTTGCATTATCACGATCCTCTACCAGTAGCATACAAATACTGTTCTTAGGACTGCTTTCTGAATACAGCAGTGTACCTACTAAAATAAAATTCAGCTTGCAGAGAGGCTTTGAATAATCATTATCATCCTGTTCTTCCTAGCTTGCAGATAAAAGAGTCCTATTTTTTTTCCATGAAAGCATTACTAATACTTAAAATACACAATAAAGAAAAGCTCATAGCATATTTAGATTGACAAGTCTAGCCTGACACAGTAGTCAGTTTTAAATTACAAGAAAAATATAATGCTTTGCTCTTGAGTTTGTGTCTAGTCATAAACAGCAGTGAGGACAAGTATTTACAGTATAATCACCTTCCTGTCACTCTAATATGTCTTATTTTATGACTGGTTGTGTATAACACACAGTAAACTACACAAGGTCAGTGAGGACAAAATGCACATTTCAGGATGATTAGTGACTCCACTATTTACTACCAAGGTTTCAGTAGATGCTAAGTGCAGCTTAAGCCTGCAGGAAGCTTCATTTATTTCAGAAAGGCTTTCCATAGATAAAGGGAGATGGTTATATAGATTATAGAATCAGGTTTCTGTGTACTGTGACAGCTCAATCAAAAAATAATAAATGCATGAAATAGCTCCACTGGAAGCAGATCTCTTCTAGGAATGTGTGCTAATGACACTGCTTTGTTGCACTGATGAATAAGACTATAAAATACTTAATTTAATTCAGAGTTTTAACCAGCAACTCCAAGTCAAAAAAAGATCTGCAAAAAAATAAACTCAAGAAGTCTTTATAAAAAAATATTGAAAATATTAAACTTACTGTTGTTAGGATGCTCCATAAATACTAGAGTTGCCCAGACAGAACGACTGAAATTACTAATACCACCACCACCATCATCTAAAGTAAGCATTAAAATTTTACAGATGACAGAGAGGAACAATTATCTTAACGTTTGCTCTCTGTGATGATTTCATAGCGTAACAGCTGAATATAAAGAAAACCATGAAAGTATCATGCGTATTAGTATACATATATGTTTCAGCTCCAGTAAAATGACAAACTGTTGGATAACAAAACGCCGCCTTCTACAACAATTTTCAGATTATCTCTATTGCTCTAGCACAATAAAAAAGACACTGTTGAAGTATTACAGGCAAAACCAACACTGCACCTGGTACTCTTATCACAATGTTTACTCACCTAGCTTATTTTCTGAACAATTCCTTCCTAACAAAGGAGATATTTATATTACGATTTTACTGGAATCATATAGCTTCCAGAGTCTGCTGTCAGGAAACTGCTATGAAAACAGAAGTAGAAACACGCATTTTTTTCCCCTGTTTGGCTGCCTCTGATCAGATGAATTTCCACCAAATGCCTCAAATAGATGAATAGTTGGCACTTTAACACAAGGATTAGCTTCCAGCTCCATTTTACTATCCAGCCTGGAGATACCCTAAGAGGTAACACTGTCCAGTCTCCAGAATAACACAGTAAGCAAACCTTAAGAAATTGTTTCCTAAAGTTTTCTGTTGTTGCTGCTTAACACAGTTACTTCAGATATTTTAAATTAGCATACCAAGAGTCAAAAGTGAAAAAGTTGAAGCTCTAATAAGACCAACAGTGTACTTTGCCACAGAGCAAGCCCCAGGCAGCAAAAAGCTATGTAAGCTGCAAAATGAAAACTCTTACCAAGCTCCTTAAACATTGCTCATGAGTACGAAAACTGTGAATCTAGAAAACTCCAAGAATAACAAAATTCAATTCAGCCTAAGAACCAATGAGAGATGTTTCCAAATCAGATAAGAACAGTGACCTTTTGCCTATAAATGTATAAGCAACAGCATGCGCTTCCTTCTTCCAATTATCTTCAAATCTATTGAAATAACAGCATCAAGTCTCTCTTTTGTCCAGCTACAGAGACAAATATACAGGGACGTTTTTTCATTTTTTATGAAAGAAAAACAAAACAGGCTGGGCAGAGACTGGATTGAGAGCAGCCCTGAGGAGAAGGACTTGGTGGCGCTGACTGACAAGAAGCTCAGTGTGACCCAGCAACGTGCACTTGCAGCCCAGAAAGCTAACTGTATGCTGGGCTGCATCAAAAGGAGCATGACCAGCAGGTCAAGGGAGGTGATTCTGCCCCCCTGCGCTGCTCTCGTGGGATCCTGCCTGAAGTACTGCGTTCAGCTTTGGGGCCCCCAGCACAAGAGAGACGTGGACCTGCTCAAGTGAGTCCAGAGGACTTCCTATGTGTTCAGACAGCCTGTATCTATTTAGACTGGCGGCAGAGCAAAATGCAGGGCAATAGACCAGGCAGTAAAAAAACAAGATTGACCCAGTGTACCAACCACATTCACAGCTCGGAACACTAATGGAAGTGAGATGTGCAGGTGAAAAGGCCAGCAAATGCATTCTATCACTACAGGATGACTCAAATGTTTTGAGAAGTTGTAAGGGTAGCAAACAGTCCATTCACTAAAGAAAAAAGAAATTAATGACTTCAAATGATGTTTTAAAACATATATTTACTTAAGCTGAAGGTACGTAGGTCATTCTCTGTGTCAGATTGGAAGAGCTGTTAAGCAGAGTAGGGAAGGACATTTAAAAAATCACAATCAGTAACAAAGATACTAAGTGTTTTCTTTCAGCTAATAACCAATAAATTGCATATGGTGGAAATGCAGTTCATACCAACTTGAGCAATCAGGTTCAGAGAGAAAATGTTTGCCCAGTTTCTTCATTCTAAAGAGCAACCTTTTAAAGTATGAAAGTGACTATGAACAAGGTATATACTACACCCCTTTGGCAGAGAATTTTATTTTCTTTAATGCATTCAAGTTACCATAGAACAAAGTCTTCCTCTGTGCTTGTAAACGACCACTGGACTTAAGATTGCCATTGACATAAGCTAGACTTTGAGTCTGAATTTTGTTTACTAAGACATTCCAAATATCTAACACTGAAAAATCATGGTATAGTGGTGAGAGAAAAATATACAGATTAAACAATCCATAAATATTTTAAACAGTTACCATACCCACCTGCTACATTAAGCTTTTCAACTGCTCCTAAGCTAGGAGCAGGAGTGGTAGTATTGTTGGTAGAGTTTGCTCCTGTTCCATTAAGCACAAGGTTTTCCACCTTGGACTCTAACTTCCCAATGCGCTGCAAGATATTATCCAACAAGACAGCAAGTGTCTTCTTCAGATCTACAAATGAAAATGAAAAGTTAAATTGCTTAATAATGCGATGCACACTGTCAGACAGAATCAAAAATAGATACAAGAATGAGACTAGAATATATAAAGACACTTCCTCAGTGCAAATCTTTGTCATTAGCAGTTCTATGCACTAATATTTCCTACTTTGCTCAGTTTAAGATACAAGTTTCCCTAGACGTATTTTATAAAGCACACTGCAACTCATCTATATATCTATCTCCTATATTCAAGGTGAAGTGTGAGCCTTTATGGGTACGCACATGAGAACAAAAAAGTGCATGCTTCGTAATAGCTCAAGTAATAAGAAGCTGCTTAAATAATAATGAGTCTGAATCTAAATCCATGTTCAAGCACTATCAGAGGAACAGTTTGTGCTCAGTCACTTGGAAACAAAAATCCCCTTCCCAAGAGGGACAGTTTTTGCACCAGTACAAAAACCTTCTCCTGCATCTCCTCCACCAGAGGCCAGGTTCTGAACAGACCAAAAAAAAAAAAGGAAAAACAAAATTAAAGAAAGAAAAAGAAGAAGAACGAATGTTAAGTTCAACCTTTCTGACAGATACACAAAACACCAGGAATCACCTGTCGCTTTTCTTCAGTCTATTGGCGATTGTCTCTACCTATCTATTTGGTGTGACACAGCCTTTCCTTCATGTGGAAAGCAACAAACAATAACAGAAGTTTGCCTATCAAATGGCCGCCCAGAAAGAATTCTCTAATAATTTTTGCTTCCCTTTTCTTTTGTTCAGATTTCTTGAAGTAACCCACACAGTTGGGCAAACTTAAAGAACTGTGGGCAAGAGGGGAAAAATGGACCACTATCAGACTAAACTGTATAATTACAGTGGCAACAAGCCAAAGAACATGAAATGAAGTACTTTTCGTTGCTTATTTACCCTTGTCTCAAGAGTGACGAATTCAGTGTGATTAACTTACATTATTTCCCCATTTAATTACATAAAATAATTACATGTGCATATGCTTAATACATTTTCAGGTTTCCACAACTTTAGAATCAAATAACTTTCTGATCTGTAATGGAAAAATCTCTCCATACATCTGAAGATTCCTCTGCCCCTACACCAGTTGCATTTTTGCCACACCTACTTTGTGCTCTCTTTTCATGACTAGTCCAATTCTTGTGCAAATAAGACAGTTAATAAGAAAATGCTATTACTTTTAGAAAACTTGAGTTTCTTTTTTCCAAATAAAAGGACAGTTATGTTTATTCCATGGAGCATAAACTAGATTTTTTTCTTTATAGCTGTGTGTTTTCCTCTGACCTTTAAAGATCAGAAGATGGAATCTTAAGCACTAATAATGATCTGGAATACTTTAAAAGGGGTCCAGAAGTCACTTAATGGTATAGTGTACAGGAGAAAAGGTATGAGAGACTGCTCGCCAGAACAGAAAAACAAAACAAAATAAAACAAGAAACCAAACACCTCAAACCCAAACAATTGAAGGCCAGTTTGAGAAGGGGAGGGCAGAAGCACAGATTCGTAATAATTTTTGTAAAACAACTGTTTACTTCTACAAAAATCTAATATTCTGTATATATTTGGACTACAACTTTCAAAAGTAAAGTGTTAGATCCAAGTACCTGACAGGTGAATATATGGTAGAAAGAAATAGTGACAAAGTGAACAAGCTGTTTAATCGAAATTAAGGAATAATTGAAAATCTTTTGGGTGGGTAAAAGCAGCCAAATCAAGCAAACTTAAAACTTATTCTTGAGCATGGAAATCATGACTGTGCTCACCAATACCAATCAGAGGATAAGAATAAAAGCAATAAGGAGGCTAAGTAGCAAGAGTGTTAATTTTCACAGACTAGTGAACCAACTTCTACCAATTATCGTTAATATTAGTCATTAATGTGTTTAGTCATGAATAGTTAACTTGATTGTTTGCTATCAACAACTGATTTGATATGCCAAGCAGGACAAATTGACTTACTTATTAAGTAGCTATCTTACTCAGTTTCATTATGATGTTACTCACTCACCATAGCATCTCTGCCTCTAATATTTTAACTAAATACATTACCAATATTTTTCATCTTCCTAAACTCCTCATTTGAAAACACCTGTCCAAACTTAAAACTCAGCCATGGAAGTTGAAATTTCTAGACAAAATTTAGCTTTATTTTCACAGAAAAGTTACAAAGTTTTCAAATGTTTACCCATTTTCAAACGTTCTTTAACTTCTCCTAGGGAACTTGACCACTGTTTGGTGGCAATTCAACTTATTCCTCAGTGGGATTTGAAACACGAAATTAATATCACAGGCAACAAGCTTTGGGGGAACTTAGTTTAAGTATATCCTCTACCCTTGGACGTAGCTGGAAACATATTAACAGTTACCCTTCCATTTCTGGTGACAACCTGGGGTCTTTTGTTGTTTGGTTTTTTTTTTTCTTCTTTAATTCCCCTCCCACCAAGCACCCTTACAAGATAATGGGACACTGATAATGGCTATATGGCAGATAGGGTTTTGTTTTAAGCCTACACACACAATTCTCTAGGGACCTCTATTTGTTTGGAGGTCTTCAATGTAAAGATTGATCTAGTACCACGCTATTTAGTTTGTATTGTAAGATTACAATACCAGTATAGTTCAACAAATCAGAAGTAACAGAATAAGCACAGCTTTGCTTAAGCAACATAGTAATATAATTGTTAGCTGTGTTTAGGATGATAACCTCAGGCTTAAAGGCAAGCACCTTCACACACTAAAAAAATCTTTTAGAGAAAAAGAGTAAGCATTAAAACTTCCTGCCGAACAAGGCACTGGAACTCACAGAGAGTTCTCTACCCTGAAGCAAACATAATATATTTGATCTTAATTTAAGATTATGCCAGAGAAGTAAACTTAAATGTTATGTAAACTAACAAACTGACTGAACAAAGAAGTGAAAGGAGAAAGAAGAAGAAATAAACATAGGTCTTTACCAGTAAGGCAAGTTCTTCTTCCACAAAGAATTTCTTAGATTACTGATACACAAACTAAAAAGCCTCCCAAGCAGAAAATGTTTATTTTAGATCAAGTTCTAACAAACAACCTGAGGCATACTAGATACAGCTACTAGACAGATGTATTAATTAGCAGACAACTTATTTTCCAAGTGACTGGAAATGTAAAATTTTTCCCATTTCATATTTACAAGTGAAGGTTCTTTTCTCCATTTGTGCAGAAAATCTACAGTGGAAAGTACTGTCAATTGAGCAGCATTCAGAAGTAAAATACTTGGACAATTTTGAAAAAACTTTAATCAGATCACCATGTAATCCAGATCACACACTTACCGTATGCTGTCACTGTCCCAACATAAGGCCCATCAACCACATTTTTATTTTCTTCAGCTAATGCTTTGATATATCTTTTGCTGAGATCCAAAATTTGCTCACGCAGGACTGAACTGCTTTCATGTTGCGTTTGCTGCTGAATAGTAAAATGCAGAAGCATCATTCCCCAAATGAAACCAAAAGTCACCAGAAAAAAGCCAAGTTTCTGAGAGGACAGCTTCCATGGAGAGAATGCCATGATTCCCAACAGCTTCACACAGTTACTACAAAAGTTCCTAAAGCATGAAGCCAAACAGCAAGTTCATGGTCCAGGTATATAGATATCACAGAGCGGAACTCAGTCTTATTCCAACTCCTTAGTCAACATATATCCGTGTTTCAGTTCCATCCTGTTGTGAAAGGAAAGAAAGGAAGCATTGTTACCACAACATATTAGAAAGTCTTACTACTAGCTATAGTAGGACTTCACCCTCACTGGTACAGAACAGGAGTAGACAATATGCTTTCTTTTTAAATGTTTAATGTGTCTGTGTCAACATTGTACTGTACTAGCCAGAGCACAAAGAAGCTGAGAAAAGCACTAGAAAGACAATGAGAAGAGGGAGAGATGCACCTGAGCAGTTGTAGAACACCTCTAAGTATCTGGATAAAATTCAATGCTTGAAGTGGTTTCTAAGCTGAATTTCAAGGTAAGGCTGCTTTTGCATTTTTTTTTAAGTGCATACACAAAACTCTGTGATGTTGCCAGTACAGCAACTTAAGACAATTCTCAACATAATTCAGTTCTCAGAAAACAAGTAATTTTAGCTGGCAGTGACACTGTTCAGAGTTCCTGGCAAGAGCTACGGCATATGGCTAGATAGATGATCAGGAAATCAGACTCCCTCAGGGGTAAAGAAGAAAAAAGAAATGTACATTATTTAAGCCAATACACTCTCCTGGCTTACACTGCAAGCAGTCAGAAGGCTGAAATAATCTCCTCTTTCTCCTGTGTGGCCTCTGCCATGCACAGTTACTCCTTATTCATAAAACATAGTCCAATGAATTTGCCCTTTACAATCAAATTCAAAACACAATCATCTAAATGCTACAACATATATTTTGCATATAAAAATAATGTTCTCGGAGCTTTTGACACACTAGGAAAAAAGAATTGTGATAATGGCCTTCATGACATCGTAGGACCATCTTTTCATGGTAAAAAAGATAAATCTTGGCATAAAGAATCCAAAGGCAAGAAAAGGTCTGTGATGAGGGCTGCAGGCAGGGTCCTTAGCATAAAGCCCAACAAGAAGAAAGGTAATTAAAAGGTAATTAAGTGTAACCCATCATGTTAAAACACATGATTTGGTAAAATGTTATCCTTTTAACTTCATAATGCTCCCAGACAGGATTAGAGAACATAATGTTCCCTTCCACTCTCCTCTGGTACAGATAATGCAGATGTTACTCTTTTTTTTTAATAGGATAATTACACAGATGCCTGCTAGCAGTGCTCCCTGTTCATTAAAATTCCCTTTAGATTTTCTGCTTTCAGTTGAACCAGCAGTTCTGCAGAGGGACAGAAATACCTTTGGACCACTTATCTTGAACACGCCTTGTGTGTGGGTTTAGCATTATTGACCATTATCGATCGTAGAAGTGAACGTGCATTACATAGTACACTAACATCAGACAAGGCAGCAACTGTACCATGCACATACATTGCTAAAAGAACAATTTGTAGCCATTGTTTGCTGAAGAAGGAATGGTGCAAAAAATGAATTGCAAGTACAGTGAAAAAGATTACAAAGCCCTCAAGTTGACCTTTTCCACACTTAAAATATCTCAATAAAGAAAATCATTAGTATCAATAGAGAAAACAAAGGACTCTAATGTTGCTCTCCATAAAAGTTAATTTTCTAAGAAATGGCAGAGGGAAGTTCTACTTCTCTCAGTTTATGTAACTATAGCCTTGGGACACTCCTGGACTGACTAAAAACTAGAGTATTGTTATTTCATTAAAACCTGAATGTTTTACTACTCTTTGCAATATCTGGTCTGATAAAATCTAGAAAAAAATAATAGTTTAAAATAACATCACAAAAAGAAATTGATAATTTTCTGTATAAAATCCTTCAGTGACTTAATTTCAAGTAAGAATTGACACTGTCCTCTACAGCAATAAGATTTGCAGTAGTAACAGCCAATATTTCTTCCCCAATTATCAGTTGTTTGTGAAGTGGAAAACACTGATTAAAAAAGTAACCCTATCGCCACCATGCTTTAACAGACAAGTGCTAACAATTTTTTATGACTAGTTGTTTAGGATGGAAACCCACAGAACATAATAAACATTAAAAACAGCAATAAAAAAATGCAAGCATTTCACAATTTTCTTTTTAAATTTCTAGAACAGAAACAAAGATTACAAAACCAGTATATGTCTAAGCTATGAGAATGATCTACTTAAGTACAACTGTCGACTTTGCCATTCTGTTTATCAACAGAAAAAAAAGCCTTCAATCCCCTCAAAAGCTGTAGCAAGGTAGACAGCAAATATTAAAGTTTTGCTATTAGAAAGGATTGCAATTCATTGACAGGTGGAAGAATGGCCCCCATTATTTCAAGTATTAAAAGTAATAAAAATAAAACCCCAAACCCCACAAACCAGCCCTATTTTTAGTGTCACTTAAGTAATTCCAGTGGCTAGCAACTTGAGGAATGCCCAACAACATCTACTTAACTGATCATCTTTACAGCACTGCTGGTGGCCATGGCAGTTTGTAAAGTGTACAGGAGAAGAATCTCTGTGCTTCCCACCACCTCCATGGCTGGACACACACCCACACTAACTTCGGTATATGTTTAATCCTAAATTTGCAGATGTCATGGACTGCAATACGACTATTCCCAGTTAATGATTACCATATACCTATAATGACTCATTATGTGGTATCTAAGTGGACAATGGTCAGAAGATATCAAGGAGTTATGTGGAATGCATAATGACAGCAGCACAGAAATACCTCTGTATTTCTGTTTTAACAGGGAATTAATAACTGCAATGAGGAATAGTTGAAGCAATCAATATACATTTTTTCTACTGTAATCGCTCATGGACTTTCATAGTGCCTACTGACTAGTTATCAATAGTTAAACTGATAGTATATGTCAGTTATAACTACCAAGTAAGCCATTCCCCAATGTAAAGTGGTAGAATATTTTCCTTATTCTCCCCCTTCCCTTAAAAATGATTGCAAAGGAGCTGATCCTCTTAACTATTAAGGCCTTTTCCTGGTCTGGTCTTCAAAATACACAATGGGAGTCATATCTAAAGAGGATATGGATAAATATATTTGTACACGCCTCTAAGGAGCGACAGGCTTTTTTGTTTGGTTGGGGTTTTGGGTTTTTTTTTAAGCTCTAGAAAGAGGTTGTCTCACTCTTAGACAACTCTTGAAATAATTCCAATGCTCCTCTGTAAACTGAGTATGTCATACTTGTGAGGTTGTAAAACTGTTAAGAAGATAATTCCTCCTGATTTACTGAGAGTAGATAATGTACCAAAGCTAAAGGCCAAGTGTGAAAAACAGGGTGAAAGTGAAAAGATATACAAGGCAAGAAAACCTTTAATAAAGAATAGCTTTGTTATATTCTTCCTTAAACTCAACTCCAACCACCAAAATCTCACCGCAGTTAAACCTATGCACTGATGTTTTGTTGTGTTTTGTTATGTTTCAAACAGACCAGTTACAATCTTTGTGAAAAACATACCACAATTTAAAACATAACTACCTCCACCCTTAACAAAAATGATTAGCACATTTCTTTGGAAAAGGGCTAACCTTGTACCCTTTTAAACAGGTGTAAGAATTTTGAAATACTAAAAGTACTACTAAACAGCTTCATTAAAACCACATTTTTCCCCGTTCTGTATTTAATAAAATCCTGTTCAACAGCTGGTCAATTCATTGGTTACAGAGGATAACATTACCAGGCCTATGTCATCAAACAAAAAAACCCTCATGCTATTTAGAATCCTAGCAGGAAAGGACTCCAATGCTAACGTGAGCTGTGCTTCAGGGATGCAAACCACACAGTTCTCGGCATTTTAAGCCTTTATCATCTTTTTTTTTTTTTTTAACTGCTTAAAATAGAGTACGAACAATCTTCATGTGAACAGATTTTGATGACACATATCCATGTATTTGTCTTCACAATTAAAAAGGAGAATTAATCATCTTCAAGAGATTAAACAATGTTTCTTTGTACATATGGACATATACAAAGCTTGATGCTCACTGTCCAATCTGTACCTATATAAGAAGTAATATTTATGCAGGGTAAACTTGGAACAGTACTATCCTCAGGATAGTCAGGATTCAACTAGTCAGGATTCAACTGTTCATCAGTTGAATGCAGTGTTGTTCATCACTACCTCTACAGTTATACAACCTTAACTGTCTGTAGCCAAAGCAGAAGCTGTTCCACCCATAAAAGTAACTGGAGATTAAGTAGTATTTAGTTATTAACTTATGAACTCAAACATTAGTAAACTAGAGCATGACTAGTAAACAATGTATATGCAGTTTTGTACCAAGCAGCTCAGTAAAAATAGTATTGCCACTGCTAGGAACAGGCCCCAGGCCTTATGCTGTGTTCCTATGAAAAACATTCAAGGACCAAATCCTGGCCTTTTATGCTTGTGAAATTATTAGAAGAACTTGTGTAAACTAGAGCTAGAGCTGGGTACCAGGTGCCTCTTGTTACAGCATACAGCTTAGATATGAGATAACAACACAAGCCTTGAAAATGTGGGCACAAAGGTTGAAAGCAGAAGCCTCAGAACCATAAGGAACTCCATGAGGGCCAATTATTAGTCCCTGCTGAAGTGCAACCTTGAGATTTGGAAAAAACCTTGCTTTTCTTTCAATAGCAGCAAAAGTTGAAAAGGAGGAATAAAACTGCTAAGCAACAAGAAAAGGCACCTGTGACAGCCTGGAACACCTCACTGTCAAGGCCCATAGCTATCCGCGCTAAATACATGGCACCAGCTCTATGGTAGTGTGTGCTCACAATTAATTGATAATGAGATTGTTACAGACTAATTACTTTGAATATGCAGTCGTAATGATTAGGAATGAGTAAGAACTAGCCATTAGCAATGTGTACTGCTAATGAGTATCAATCTAGTGAGGTTTTGTTATAAAATTTAAAGCTGGTTTAAACAACTGTTTTAGCAGCCTTCTGGACTTTCAGTCACACTCTCATTCTCGTCTTACATATATATCCATACACAAATGACACATATTCGCTTGCAGCACTGTGCCACCATGCTTGAAGCTGCATAATTACTGTACCACAATCAGCCCAAACAGGTGCTCTTAAAAACCGCCACACCAGGATCCT